GATTATTAATTTTTTTATTTATGTGATTGTATGATTATTAATATATTTATTTACATAGTTATTTATTTATTTATTATTGTTGCATGATATTATATATTATTGCATGATCAATATTATATTTCTTGAAGCCACTTCAAAAGTGACAAATGAAGATTTCTCATTTCTCATAGGGACCAATTTTGAGTTTGCTTACAACTTCTACCAACTTGCATATCTTCTTTTGAAAGCTTCTAGGGTTGGAAACATTGTGTTTCTATCTTCAATTGTGGTGTGGTATCACTAAATGTTGGATCTATATATGGAGCAACAAAAGGTATAGTATTCTTTTGTTCTAGCCAAATAAAACCTTTACTGCATACATATAGTTGAGTGATTTTATCTTTGAAGATTGATTTGAGATGTGATTAATTCCATTACTTGCAAGAGCCATGAACCAACTTGCAAAATACTTGGCATCTGAGTAGGCAAAAGATAATATAAGGGTTAACTCTGTTGCACCTTGATTCATCCGATCTCCCATTGCAGAACCTGTAAAAATATACTTTTCCCCATGTTTACTCTCTTTATGTTTATATCAACATGATACCATTTAGATCAGTGATCAATAAGGATATTCAAAGAGAATATTGATTGTTTATATTTTTAGATAATTAAAAAATATATATTTATGACCATTATGGCAAGATTCCATAAATAAATTGCAAAGATTACAATGCATTAGAGCACGCAATTCTATTCCCCAAAATGTATAATACTTTCAATGTTGCAAGTAATTGTTTTTCTTGGGTTGAAATATCTTAGTTATTGTTGGTTTCATTCTCTTTTCTTGCAGTTCATTGAGAATTTCTTGAAAGCTATCATTTCTCGAACTCCGTTGGGATTATTAAGAATAGTGACTCAAATCTCATAACATATTTATTTGAGATTAGCTAGATATTACTTAATAGACAATAAGATTTACAGAAAAAGAATTTTAAAAGGAAAAAGATTCTTGATAGGCAAGTTTGTATGGTTATAAATAGGTGAAGTGTCTACATGATTAGGTATGAGAAAAAGATGTAATAGAGTTGTAGGATTTTATGGAATAGACACCTCATAGGAGTACTGAAAATTTAAGTCTTATGAGTGTGTATGATTGAATATTTGTGAGTGGACTAAAAGAGACTAGGATAGTCCATATAGATATGATACATGAGAGAAACTATGTATGAGTTTGTTTGGGTCAAGAATACTTCATAGGACTATAGGAGATTAAAAGGGTCTATGAGTATTGGTTATAAGTGAGATTGATTTGATGTATATTTGTAATTTTTTATAACTAGTGAATCTTATTTCTCATCTGTAGATGTAGGTCGATTGGATCGAATCACATTAAATTACTATCTCTTATGTGATTGATTGATTATTTGATTTCATTTTCGTTGATGTGATTGGATTGGAGCTATTTGGCCTAACAAGTGATATCAGAGCTGAAGGTTCAAGATATCGAAAGAGCTAAAGATTCAAGATATAAGAAGAGGCAAGTCTAAAAGAGCTCGACTCAAGGAAAAAGTTCAAGTTCGTGTTTTAAAGATTGATTTGCGTGAAGCGTGAAAACATATAAGAGAAGATGATTGTGATACTTTCATTACAGGTGAAGCCAAGCATGTCTAGCATGAAGACCAATGATTTAATAGAATTTGAGTCAAGGTAAAAGATTGTTAAAAATAGTAACTCAAATCCTATAACAGATTTATTTGGGATTGGCTAGATATTACTTAATTGACAAAAAAACTTATAGGAAATGAATTCTAAGAAGAAAAGGATTCTTGATAAGTAAGTTTGTATGGTTATAAACAGATAACGTCTTTATATGATTAAGTATGTCAAGGTGAAGATAGTTGAGAATAGTAACTCAAATCCCATAATAAATTTGCTTGAGATTGGCTAGATATTACTTGATGGATTAAAAGACTTGCAAAAGAAGAATTCTAAGAAGAAAAAGATTATAGGAAAGTTTTTGTGGTTATAAATAGGTGAAATCTCTACATGATTAGGGTCCACATAGTTATGGTGTATGTGAGTGGATTAAAAGAGATTGAGATGGTCCACATAGATATGATGCATTAGTGCATATGGGTATATGTTTGTTTGAATCGAGAATACTCTATAGGACTAGAGAAAATTGAGAAGGTCTATAGGTATTGGTTATGAGTGAGATTGATTTTATATATGTTTGTAATTCTCTACAACTAATAGACCTTATTTCTCATATGTGGACATAGGTTTATTGTACCAAACCATATTAAATTATTGTCTTTTGTATGATTGATTGATTATTTGATTTAACTTCTTTTGATGTGATTGGATTGTGACTATTTAGCCTAACAGGGACAGATTGGAGAGCCATAGGAAGTCTCATCCTTGGTAGGATTCCTGTTCCTACCAGCAGCTTCTTGTATGAGAGCGCAAACTATTTGCATTGATGGGGGGATGACAGTGAATTGCTTCCTTTTTCCTGGCATGTTCAGCACCCACGCCCATTCCCAATCTTAAAATGATGCATAAGTTCACTTCGGCAAAAATAAATTAATTAATTAATAGAAATGATGCATAAGGCACCTCAACTACATGGTCAGCCTCTTTCATAACAGGGCAGATTATTTCCTTCCAAAGAACGTGCATGATAAACCATGCATTACAAAGGCTGAATTACTGTCCAGGGGGACAGCTTTAATACTTGTCTCTATATATCATGTTCTCATTTTCAAGTTTGAGAGACCTGTTTTTTCCCATTCAACATGTATGATAGGGTTGATACAGTGCTTGGAACATGGAGATCATATTCTTCTATATGGATTTAACAGAGGAAATCTATCAATCTGTTCTTTTGCAGTGTTCTGTGAAATTATTGAAAACGAATTTGAATTGATCTCTCTTTTATCTTCTGGCTACCTAATGCATTAATATTCGTTTTCATTAGCTGCGGCAGAAAATGTTATAATTTGAGATGGAAGATGCTGTGTTTAAATAAAAGTAACCTAATCTTTAACCCTTCAAATAGGACAAAAAGAATTCGATTTACATGACAACTTGCACACGAAAAAGGATAAGATTTTCAATTACAGTAATCAAAATTTGAATTATGATAATATCAAATACAAAAAGTTATTTTTTTCGAAAGCTTGCAAATACCGATAAGATTTTGAGAATTCATTTGAATTCGACTAGCATTAATTTCGACGTGACAACTCAAATATGGGCTACCAAGGAAGGAACTAGAATTTTTAGTGAGCAGTCATCTCAACATGACAACACTATCGAGTACGAAACAAGAATTTTTAGTTGGGCGTGAAAATCTGACGTAAATTAAAGATTAATTTTTAATAAACAAGGTAAAAAACAAATGATAAACGATAATGATAATCATTAATATATTAATTTAAAAAGCCGTATGATGAAATGATGAAAACCATGAAATTTCAATTCTCAATTTAACAAGAAAGAACAGAAAACATTTTGCTTACAAATTGCAATTAAATTTGGGGTGTCAAATTATAATCTTGTTCTTTCCTTATCCCTAGCTCTGTCCTCCTGGACTATATGTACATGAAACTTAAATTTGATTAATTTCAATTCAAAAACATCATCTTCATTTTTATATTGTTATTTGATTTCTACAATAAATACTAATAAATTTATTTGATTTAATTCTGAAAATCATTGTATATTAATTCAAAGCATAACGAATATCACCAATAAAGAGGTGAAAGTCATAAAAAATGAAAGTCATCGATTAAAAAAAAAAGGCATTTTAATTACTTTGCATAAAACAAGTGAAATATCAATATGAATTAAGTACTTTGAGGACAATGTAACAATTTATTAACCTAATTGTAATTTAATTTCATGGAATGATATTTACAAAATTATTTTATTTAATTGCAAGAAACAACAAAGAAAAAGGACAACCTTGACTATTACAACAAAGAAAAAAAGACAATCAATTACCTCAAAAATTAATAAAATTGAAGATCAATATATCTTAATTCTAAATAAAAAAATAGAAGGGTTAGATATTTATTTCTCTTTTGGAACTTTATTTTCAGATTTTTTATATTTATCTGCTTTTTGAATTTTAGTTTAGCTTTTCAATTTAATTTAATATCATGACTATTATTTTATTTCTATAATAATAATAATAATAATAATAATAATAATAATAATAATTTTATTATATTATAACGCACATGTCATTAAAAGAAAGAAAGAGATAACATAAGTAATAAGATTAAAATATATAAAATACAATCTATTTTACATCTATAAAAACATATAATTGATGATTTAAACTATCATAACTTTAGGTCTTTACAAGAAAAACATTATTAATTTTTTTAGATAATTAAGAGTCAATTTGAATATGCAATGAAATTAATTTTGATGAAATTAAAAATAACAATAAAAATGATATTCATTATTGCAATGGTGAAATTTAAACTAATGGTAAAATATATTTTGGATATAAAAATAGAGGTGATGATGAAATGATTTGTTATAAGAAAAAAATTATTATTAAAAATATTAGATTAAAATTTTGATATAATAAATTTATTTAAACTTTAAAAAAATATAATGTAAACCAAGAACACTGTACATTAAGCATAAAAAAAGTGTGAGTAATATTCGAAAATATGACTACGGTGGAAAATTTAATCTAAAAGCTCTAGTGACAAGATAAGTTTCGACGCAATAGATGTAGTCTAACCATACCTCTCGTTTGGTCATTTGAATTTTACCTTGATTTTTTGGTGGCTTTTTGGTTGCTAATTATACCTCGGCATCAAAATCAAGCCTGAAAGCTTTTTTCCCCAAATCCCAAGAAGTCAAACAAGTTAGCTAAAAAAATAATAACAGCAAGACAGCCAAAAAGAAATAATGAAGACGTACAGTAACGAAGACAAGCCCACTTGATCATTTATGGTAATTGTGGAGGTTTCAACCAACTCATTATTAATATTGAGTGACGGGGCAAAATAAAAAACCCCTCCAACCCCCTCCCCTCCAATAACTGAAGCCAACAGATCAAGAGAAGGGAGAACTAACTAGGTAGAAAAAACCGGTGAGAATGGCCGAGGCAGCAGATAGAAGGAGTAGCAGGAAAAACAGATGGTCACTTCATGGCATGACTGCTCTTGTCACTGGTGGAACCAAAGGAATCGGGTAATACTTTGTTTCTCCTTCTCTCTCTTTTTTTCATGTTATTATGGTTTTCTGAAATTAAGTGTTCGATACGATTTGATTAAATTGACATCTTAATAATCTTGATTCTCATCAAACCACAATATAATTTATATTAAAATTAAATATTACAAAATTCAAATCACAAACATTTAAAAAACTGCAATGATCAGGTATGCTATCGTAGAGGAATTAGCTGAACTTGGCGCAAGAATACACACATGCTCCAGGACTGAAACTGAACTCAACAAATGCTTACTTGACTGGGAAGCAAAAGGTTTCCAGGTTACTGGTTCAGTCTGTGATGTATCATCCAAGGCCCAAAGAGAGAAGCTAATAAACACTGTTTCGTCTGAATTTGATGGGAAACTCAACATCCTTGTAAGTAAAAATATCCATTATGTTTCTTTCTTCTGGTAATGACTAATAACTGCCAAACCGCACTAATATGCACTGAGTTTTTGCTAATGAGAAATTTATGGTTCTAATACGCCAAATTGAAATGGAGTGGTTCTAGATTAACAATGTGGGGACAACTTTCTCGAAGCCGACTTCAGAGGTGACAAATGAAGATTTCTCATTTCTCATGGGGACAAATTTTGAGTCTGCTTACAACTTCTGCCAACTTGCATATCCTCTTTTGAAAGCTTCTGGGGCAGGAAATATTGTTTTTCTGTCTTCAGTTGCTGGTGTGGTATCAGTAAATATTGGATCTGTATATGGAGCAACAAAAGGTGTAGTATTCTTTTATTCTTGTCAAATAAAACCTTTACTGCATGCATATAGTTGAGTGATTTTATCTTTGAAGATTGATTTGAGATGTGATTAATTCCATTGTTTTCAGGAGCCATGAACCAACTTGCAAAATACTTGGCATGTGAGTGGGCAAAGGACAATATAAGGGTTAACTCTGTTGCACCTTGGTGCATCCGAACTCCCCTTGCAGAACCTGTAAAAATATATATTTTTTTCCCCATGTTTACTCTCTTTATGTTTATATCAGCATTATCATACCATTCAGATCAGTGATCAACAAGGATATTCAAAGCGAATATTGATTGTTTATATTTTCAGATAATTAAAAAGTATATATTTAGGACCACTATGGCTAGATTCCATAAATAAATTGGAAAGGTTACAATCCATTAAAGCATGCAATTCTGTTCCTCAAACTGTAAAATACTCACTGTTATAAGTAATTGTTTTCCTCGGTTTGAAATATCTCAGTTATTGTTGGTTTCATTCTCCTTTCTTGCAGCTCATTGAGAATTTCTCGGAAGCTATCATCGCCCGAACTCCGATGGGACGGGTTGGAAAGCCAGAAGAAGTCTCATCCTTGGTGGGATTCCTGTGCCTACCAGCAGCCTCTTATATGACAGGGCAGACTATTTGCATTGATGGGGGGATGACAGTGAATTGCTTCCTCTATCCTGGAATGTTCAGCACCCACGCCCATTCCCAATCTTAAAATGATGCATAAGATCACTTAGGCAAAATTAAATAAATAAATAGAAATGAAGCATAAGGCACCTCAACTACATGGTCAGCTTCCTAGTTGTTGGTCGTCTTTCTCTTTCTTTCCCCTCTTAATTTTCCGTCTAAAAAACTCCAAATTGCTGCCCTTGCTTGAATATGGATTTTATTTCTGTTGTCTACCAAAATAAACCAAAAGCAGCTTCTTGATTTTGGCTATAACATTTCAACTATTCTTATCATCACAAGTTGATATTAACAACAAAAATAGCCTATTAGTAGTATACGATTAAATCCAAAGATAAATAAGAAATCAATCAAAAAATTAAAACAAGTGAAGTACTAATGTTTTAGATTGATCTTCCAAGCTAGTAATTAACAATCTAAGCATACAACCTTCACCAACTACATGGGCAGTTGTTTTAATACAAAATGAGCAACCAACATTCAAAGCTCCAAAAATGCAATGTTTGCGTCTGCATGGGCACGCAGTAAGATACGAAATGCCCATATGACCGGTTCGTACAAAAATCAAATTATTAATTACACAGGAAGTATGGAATGATTAATATTTATTTCAGTAAGTTGATTAATTATTTTAATAATAATCAACTGACTTAAGAAAGCATAAATATATGTCATGATTTAAATAAAATATTGACATGCGGAGTAATAGTTTCAAAATTTCTCGTGAGAATTAACGACAAAGAATTTTGAGAGTAAATTATTTTTGCATGCAATTATATTGTATGTTGTGCTATATACAATAGCGAATCTAAGATTTTAAGTCACGAGATTAAATTAAACAACAACTGTAATTTGAAACTTTTCATGTAGCATATAATATGTTATTATTTGATTAAAAGTTACAAAAGTTGCAGGTGAAATATGATATTTCATAATGTAACTATAAATAGGAGACATAAAAAATTCAAATATTGAAATAAAAAATATATAACTATTAAAATAAGTAGAAACTCAAATAATTTTATTTCAAAGTGTGTACGACAGTCTTTCATATTAGACTAGAAAGTTTTAACAAATTTTCTCTTAATGTAGAAAAAAGATTAAGATTTTCTCTTAATAAATATTGATAATTTTTTTAAAATTTAAAATTAAAAAAACTTATAATTTAATATTAATAACTTCAAACTTAGAAGACAAAAATGCAATGGTCTTATTATGAAAGAAATTTTAATTATCCTTTGTACTATATTGAAATTGGCTCTCTACAAAAACAAGAATAGACCTTTTGTAATAACTATAAAAATTTGGTGCTGGTTTAAGTTTTTGAAGAATAAGATATAATGGTGAGTTCAGATTTTTAGGGAATAATATTTGTCTCTTTTTGTTTTAGTAATCTCACCATTTTTATTTTTTTGTTCAACTTTTTTTAATAATTATAACATTTTAATATGGGTCATATTTAAAAAATACATTTATTTTTTTATTTTTTAATGAAAATTAAACTATAAATTTTAATGCTTTTACAAATGAATTGGACTTTGAGATTTGAATGTTTTTATCTTAATTTTTTTAAAATTAAAAATATAAATTATAATAATAATCAAGTATTACATAATTGAATAATCAAAATAAATAAACTAATTAACAAATTTGAGAATAACCAAATAAATCTAATATAAAATTAAAATAAATTTATATGTAATAAAATTTGAACTTAAAATCTTGAGATTCTAAATATTTATAATCACAAAAAATAATAATTTGAGGGGTCATTTATACTTGTCATGGCAGTATTTGACTGAAGAAATAATTAAGTTTGAGCGATATGTACAATTGGAAAGCTTTAGCTTTGGTCAAATTGAATTCACGTGCCTTGCATTTAATTATTTAATTATAATTAAAAGTTTTTTATTTTTTGTTCGACATGCACAAGCATCTTTAAATAATAAATTTTAATCTATAAAAATATTTTTGTCATCATATTCATTTAAAGTTTATTTAAAGAAATAATTAATAAAATTTTTTAATAATATGATAAGATTTTATTTTGATATATATCTCTTAATAATTTGATTAAATTTTTTTGTAAATTTATTTTTTAAAAAATTTTAAATTAATAATTTGATAAAATTTAAATTAAAATACAAATTTTTTAATAGTTTGATAAGATCAAAATATAATAAAAAAATTATAAAAATTGATTTATAAGATTCTTCAATAATTTGATAAAATATATAAAAATTTAAATTTATAAAAAAAATTTTAATAATTTGATAAGATTCATGAATCTATTTAAAAAAAATTTTATTTTATATTTTACTTTTAAATAAATAAAATAAAATTCATACAATAATGCATTTACTTCATTTAAAATAATAAATAATAATAAAAGATAAAATAATACTAAACAAAAGAAAGATATATACATAATAATAAAATCAAAATAAAATAAAAAATTAAAATCAAAATAGAAAATAAAATAAAATAAAATTGTTTGTGATCAGGTGGGGTTATGCAAGTGGATCATGTGCAGATTCAAGGCAGGTTCAAGCGGGTCCTGTATTGCACGAAACGGCGTCGTAAGCAATTTGTTTTTTCCTCGTATTGCCGGAACCCTTTCTCTCTTGGTTTTTTCTTTGCCTTCTCTCTAGAGGCAAATGAACTTCGGCCAACTGATTCATCGGATTCTGGGAATCTCCACCAGAATCTAGGTTATGCGTCGAAAACTTCAATCTTTGGCTGAGAAAATCAACGAAAAATTTAAATATTCAACCTAATTTTTCATATTTTCCCAAAATTTTTCAAAAAATCAGAACTTCTTCAAAGAACAAAAAAAATAACGAAAATCAAACAAATCAGGACACAATTACAGAAGCATATTCTTTACCACAAAAAAAATCCCATCCCAAATCTCTTCCAAAGCGAAAATCCCATCAAACTTTTCATGCTAAGAAAATCCCAGAACAAAAAAAGTGTCACGCCAGAAAAAAAAATCCTCCTCCCATACCAAAAAACTTTCACGCCAAAAAAAAACTGAAAACCTCCTCTTTTCTGAGTGATTTAGGGTTTTAACCTATGATTTTGTTTCCCAATTCAACTTCCAGCGAGCATGATTTCAAGGTTGACCCAAAAAACTGATTTCATTCCCTTATCCTTTTTTGTTTTTTATTACCCATCAATTTCTTTCATCTTTATTAAAACAATAAAATAAAAATAAACACTAAATGGACCAAATTTGGACTAAAGCCCAAAATCGATTTAACATCCAGCCAAAATGACCCAATTTAAAAACTAATAGGCCTTTCGAAAGCCCACCAATTCCAAGAAAATCAGAACTGAGAACTTGCATGCCTAGAACGAAATGGGATGTCCACACCTATGTTATGTATATCCAATTTGCAACTGCTAAATTCATCAAAAATTAACAAATAAAAGAGTGATTTTGCTAATGAGAAAATATATTAAAAATTTTACAAAAAATTATATAATGATTATTTATTCTTGAATTAAGCAGTATTTAATTTTCTTAAATAAAACTTCCAAAGTTTTATTTCTATGTATGTTTTCATGTATCATGTCCTGAGGGGTGACATTAGGAAAGACATCAAGTAAACTCCAAATATGCACCTCCTTTCTGTGACCAAGATTTTATTTTAAGGATAACGGACTATCACGTTGACTTGGTAAATTTAGTTGAAAACATCTGCCAAACAACATTTTTGTAATATGAAAAAGTCAAATAAAGGAAGAACAGCCAAGTTTATTTTGTTGGTAGTACTGTTATATGTATGATCAAGTATATATAGAAGCAAATAAGAATGGCCTATGCAGCAGCAGCTTCAATGGAAGAAATACAAAATAAATTATGATGGAAATCTTTGTTCTTATGCAGATTGTTTGTCTTTTGCTAGACAGGTGTCTTGATTTTCAAAATTTGCGTTATGGGTTTTGTAAGTGTCATGCAGAAGATGCATCCTTTTCAAATGAAGGAAGAACAACCCTTTTTTGTTTCATTTAAACCCCATCTTAACACCCATTTAATCCTCTCTTTCAAACCCAAAACTTCCTTTTCAATTCACTTGGGTGGTCTGATGTGTTTTTATGCATTGAACCTTGGTACATCAGAACCTATCCTTCGTTGAACAAGTAATTTACTTTTTCTCTCAGATCTTTTTTATAGTTTGCACCGAGTTCTGATTGTATTTTCACAGTGATGCAGCTGGATTATGGTTGTGATAGGCAATGACTTCCATTCTCTAGCATAATAGCATACATGCTTGTTTCCCATGTTTAGCATCTACTTTATTATTAGATTGTTTTAAGTTAACATTTATGGTAACAACAGAGGTTTCATCCTTGGTGGCATTCCTTTGCCTGCCTGCATCATCTTACATAACAGGGTCAGATTATTTATCTTGATGGTGACATGTCTTGTTCCTCTCTATCTTCCTATTTTATGTCAAACCAACTGCTGTTAAATTTAAAATTAAAAAATTTCACATTATCTGATTTCCACTAGATTTTGTTGGCAATCCCCTGCTCATTCTTTCATATTTGAACAAGAACTTCTACCCTGCTACAATTTATTGTGCTATAATAGTTTCTGGCTTTCCTTAGCTTATCACTTGTTTTTCTTTCACTGTTCTAACATAATTTCCTTCAGTATTCTTATTTGGATTATAGCCATTCTTGTGTAATCATAATGACATGGGTAACTTCTTTCAAAATTCTGCCATGGAAATGGCTATTTGACCAGCATAGAAGAGGAGTCATTTCCCATGTTTGCATTTGCGTACTAGCTGTCTCCATTTCTTGCTATTGAATTCTTCCCTAAGCATTCTCTCTCCCTTACTTGTTATTTGTTTTCCGGTACTTTGAGATTTTATTGGCTCTTGACTAAAAATAGACCTATTGAATCCAAATGAATCGGTTGATTTTTCGTTTTTATTTTTTATTAAATAAATTTTGTGAGAAAAAATTAATTGAGGTATTTACGTGTCACTCTAAGATCCAACATTCCTTGTTATGGACTTTTTTTCCATACCTCAAGCTTTTGGCCCTTGAGAGAGTGAATTACAGAGAAAGAGAGTTATCATGGCAAGGGATGCAACTTCAAGTTTAAGGCAATGGTCTCTCAAAGGAGCAACTGCTCTTTTCACCGGTGGAACCAAAGGAATCGGATAAGGGTACTATACTTCCCTTCTCCGTATGGTTCATCAGATTGTTCTTTCACTTAAAATGTTTCTGTTAATTTC